AATTTTTTTGCGATTCAAATTTAACGGGACTGAAACTTCCGGACTGTAAAAAAAAATGGATGCGTGTAACTTATGTACGCGCGTGAGAAGTTATACTTCTTTAACATCATTAAAAATATTTTTTAATTGCATGTAAATAATTAATAATTACAATAAAATAATAAAAGGACTGGAAAAGGATAGTTAACACAGTCAATTAAGTTCAGTTTTAATTTGAAAAATTTAATAAATATTTAAAATATTCAATTAATATCACTACTGAATTTAAGTTATTAGTCCATATGTAATTAGCACTTGTAAGTAACTAAAACACGTTGTGTCTATATAGAAACTAGAAACATGTGGATAAATATTATAAATATGAAAACAGTGATCAGAGGCGACGAGCGTGCCAACATTGTTTTTGACAACGCGATCATCTTATGGAGCCCCGTGGATCGTTCAAAGTACCTTTCGAACAGATGTCTAATAATGGTGGATTATTAACCACTTAGTGGTTAATTTATTATTAGACACTAACATTCATAACGCGCCCGCGGCCAACTTCATGGGTGTTACTATTGTGTTACAGTGATGCGCGCGCATCTCGAAATTTCACTCACATGATTTTTTCATAACGCGCCCGCGGCCAACTTCATGCTGTTACTTTTGGGTTACAGTGATGCGCGCGCATCTAAAAATTTCACTCTCATCATTTTTTCATAACGCGCCTAAAGAAGTATAACTTCAAAAAGTAGTTTGACCAGATTCGTAATTATACCGTTTTATTCGACGCTCCTCAGTTAAAGACTTTTTTTTAGAAAAGTCTAAAATAATTTAGAAATTAGATATGTTTTAGAAAGTCTACTCTGATCACGCGAATCAATAACTTTTAGAGATTGAAATAAAATCTTAAAAAGAACTTTACTTGGTGAATATCTTCGGATGCATATCTCGTATAATTACGGCAAAACTTCTCTTATGGTACCTAAGTATGTTTGTTTAACCATTAAATAAATAAATAAATGGATTTGAAATGGAAACTCACGAAGAACTTTCTTCAGCTAAGTTGCCCTGGTACACAGAGTAAGTAATCGCTATGTTTTGCCAAGGTACCGTTAGCATCATAAAGATATGAGGGTGCAACTTGTCAAATACATGTAAGGAGCGATTTTTTTATTTAGGTACCAAGTATGACTTCAATATGGGAGAATTCATGAATTCACTTTCCATTACAAATATAAGTAATAAAAATACTGATTTAACACATAAGGAGTTTAGGAATGTGGTGTCCTACAGTTCAGGCATAAAAAAACATGTACGATTAAGTTAAATAAATATCGCCGCGGCTGTGTAGCCATCTACTTTGTTTTTCACGGTCGGAAAATCAAAAACTTTTTCGGCCGATTTTCCTCTTATTATTCGAGTTGTACTGACTGATATAACGATAAATAGTACCTAATGTAGTAAGAGCAGACTCATCTCCGCTGGCAGCACCCGTTCACAAGCATGAACCAGCCATCGCTTTTCTCAACCATTTTTTGGGAACGTAACGACCTGCCTCCTTTGAGTTTCCTCAAAGCCTGTCCCACACGACACCGCCGAAGAGATTTTTAAGAGAGCATGTCTACCTTTGAGTACCTCAAAGATAACCCATAAACACTTATGGATACTAAGTTGCAAATAAAAAGAAACGGACTCGTGCTGTTCACATGCGATAGAAGTCAAACCTACAAAAACGTGAACACGTAAAAGTCCTTCATGACAAGGTACAAGGTACTGGGCAAATTTAAATAATCTATACTTAAATTGTTTCAAAAAAAATTGTTTAGTAAAAGAAAAAAAAATAGCTTAATAAAAGATAAAAAAAAAATAACCGAACACAGGATCGAACCACGGATCATTTGGTGTCGATGCCAAGACCTTAGTACAGTCAATCTGTAGGTTGAGTGGTGAAAAAAAAACAAAAAGGGTAAGTCTTGTTTTTTCTGTTGCCAAATGACGTCAGTAAGCCACCTTGGCGATGGGCATGTTCAACTCGTAGGCGTTTTCTGAAAAACTCAAAAAAACCCTCAAAATTTTTTTTAAACGCATTGTTCTTGTTTTGTATGCATTTTAGAAACTTTTTTTTCGACCGTAATGGAAGAGGGCGTTGAGTACTACAATTTATGTCATTGTTGCAATCTCGTACAACAAAATATGCGCATTGTAGGTGGCGCTAAAGTCTCAAAAAAGTGTTTTTTCACTTTTTCACCCTAAAAATATCATTTTTATGGATATTCCATATTTTCAGAATATCCCCGCGCATTTCAAGAATTCCCCTAGCTTTTTGCTCGTATTTAGTTTGTATGATATACTATTGAAATAAAGTATATTTTACTTAGTACAATTTCATTTAAAAAAGAAACGGTTCCATTTCACAAAAAAGAGATGGCTCGAATCGGTAAAGTCATTCTCAAGTTATGGTGTAGCCTGAACAGAACAATGAATAAGCATAGAAATATTTAAATTCAACTCATATAGTTATCTTATTTTTACATTTAGACAAATAAACTACTCAAAACAAAATAGGGCCCACCCCGTTTTCCAGCTATAATTTATTTTTCCTTTAACTTAAGTATATTTTTTTTGATTGAGGTGTTTATAATTGGCGTTTGGAAATTGTGTAAACATAAACAACAGTGAAAATTAAAAGTTTTATGCGAATCACACAGTAATAACAGTTTTTAAGAAAATTAACTATGAAAGTAAAGTTTGAATATTAACAATATTTTCACACTAATTTATGAAAATTGTCTCTTTTAGCAAGTAGGACCTCCTCTGGTCCGTAAGCACTCTCTTAGTCTGTCTGGAACGCTTACAGCAGCGCCCAGCTCCCTCACCTCATCACACTAATATTATAAAGGCGAAAGTTTGTGAGTGTGTATGTTTGTTACTTCTTCCCGTCTAAACGGCTGGAGGGATTTTAATAAAATTTGGTATGGAGTTAGCCGACACCCTAAATTAACACATAGGCTACTTTTTACTGCTGCTATGACAAATCCTTTAAACCCCGGGTAACACCGCGGGGCACAGCTAGTTATTAATAACGAGGAATAAGCTTAGACTAGTTACGCCGTGTTTTGGTCATTCACTCAAATGTTATTTGTCATTCAATAAACAGAGACAAAACATAGAGTAACTACTCCAAGTTTATTTTTTTATTAAAAAGGGCTTCAATATATCTTTGACCTGCATCTATGCTTTAGTTATTGTTCTGACCATGTTCTGAGGTTCTGATGGTATAGCCAAGGGAAGTATAAATATTTTTGTAGGTACGTAAGTATATAAAATGCGGTTTTTTTCGGCAGATATACTTTTTCTGTTGGTTAAGAAAGATGACCAATCTTAATCAAGACTAGGATTTCGTCGTTGTACAGCGAAAACCCAGTAAGTCAATTTGAGTTGATAATAAATAAAATCCTTAGATAAATGATTTGTCGCTCGACCAATCATTTATCTATGTAAAATACGTTATAATATTTTTCCATTAATCCATCAATATGACTTCAGTAATTTCCATACAATTTACATACAATGGATTAAGTAATGAATACACATTAATGGATTATCGCAGACGAAAAACTGAGTCCATTTCTATTATCAAACAATTTCGGCTAACTAAGTTTTCGACGACATAACGACGATTGGTGTGGTGGGTGGATGCCATAAACATTATTGATATAAAACACTCATTTGGAAATAATTTCATTTTATTGCTCCACAAGGTACTTATAAGCATTTTCAATAATCGACACACTCCGTTAACCACACGTTACGAATATGTGTGTGCATAACAGAACATTTTTTTAATTTTATTTATAACCTTAAAATTCTAATCTATCAGGTACAATATCATACAATCTGCTTTAATTTTTCATATTAAAATTTTTGAAATGTCTTAAAATGTAACAACGCTAAGGAATGCTTATATGGCTCGAGATAGTTAATTTGAAGAACAAAATTAAAATTCTGATATAAACACACAGGTCATAACGAAACTGGCTAATGAAAACCATTGCTCAAAGTCGCAAAAGGAAGTTTCTTAACTATTTAGCCTCTAACTCTACAAGTGTCAAGTTGAGACTATTATTACAGAAAAGAGAAACGCCACCGAACTAGGCGATTTTTGTTAAATGTTTGTTACAATATTAAAAAAATTGGATAAAGCGTCTATTTATCATAATCGTAAATAAATGTGATATAAAAAAGTTAACTTGCAAAATTAACGATGTCGTAAGAAACGGTGGCGCCTCTGACGGGAAAATACAGAAGTAAAATTCCATACAGAACCTTGTTCTACTACTTAATAAAAAAACTTACCTACTAAAGGCAAGGCCGTTGTATTTATTTTAAAAATAATTTATAGTAAGTATCTGAAATCCAACTCGTTAAGATTTCTGCTTCAAATAAATAGCTAATGAGAAGACATTTTTTAATATGCAGTGTTAAAAACACACTGCAACTAATCCTTAAATGTGATAAGAACTTACTTCTCATGTAAGTTGATGATATACCTACAATAATAAATTGCTTACATAATTTTGTGAAATAATTTTATATTTTTAATTTTTTTACTGCTATCATTGACGCTCCCTACTATCTATTTTTAATTTGTTGGCACAAAGCATTACTATTTTCAGATCATCAAAAATGTAAAAAAAAAACCATTAATAAAGAAACTGCTTATTAAAATAAAATTTTGACCCACAAATGTTCACAATATCTAGGTATGTTTATGTTAACAATGAGACAATTTTTTCAAAAGTTTTTAAGCAGTTGTATCCTAAACGAATTCTACCTTTGAACGTAAAATTAGAATTTAGACAAATACAATTTTGGTATTCTGATATTAGATGGCCTAATCGTACATATAAGAGTTAACAAAGTTGAAAAAAAAATACAAATTGGTATCATTTGATGCCACATTTAACGAAAGAACGGAATCAAATTTTACAAAAAAGAATTGTTTAAATAAAGCTGAAGAAAGTATCTAATTAATATGTAAGAAAAAAATGGTATTAACATTAATTTCCTATTCACATGGCCCAACTTTTCAATGGATAGCAGTAATGACTAAATAAAAAATCATTTAAATCATGCGTGCACACCAACTTTCAGGACGGCACGTCACAAAGTTAAGTAAGTCAACAAAAATACATTTCGGTACTTTACCGCTTAAAAGTTTGATTTTATCACAGCTTTTGACTTTTTATAATTTTCGTTAAAAAAATACATTGATCGAATACCTGGCTCATTTGCAATTTGTTTTAGATTTGAAGCGGTCGTATAAATCTAATGAGACAAAAATTATGAAGCGAGGAAGTGTCGTGCCGTCCTCTGTTGGCAAACGCTGACATTTATGTGAAAGGTGCATATTTTTGCGACGTTTACAACAATATGCTTTCAAAAGAGCTTTTTATTTATTAACAAACACACAGTGAGATCACAGGAGTACTTGTTAATACCCTGGTAAATCTAAATCACTATCACGCAACCAACTGTGTCTTATAATTTATTATTCCGATTTTTAAACATATTCGTTCTAAGTTAGAGGAGTTTTTCACTCTTATAAGGCGCAAATAAGTGGTGATGAGACCATTAAAACAAACTTTTTCTGTTCTTTACGCTCATTTAAGCGTCTACAAGAGACGAAAGGCGCGTCACGTATAAACGTAAAAGTTAAAAAAATTTTGAAATTCAAGCTCGTACTCGAAACAATGTACGTAGGTATGCATGTTTTTAAATTGGTTAAATTTCGAAACAACACAGTTGCGTGCAATGAAACACCAAACGCTTATCATGTTCCTGCCTCAAACTTGCCATACAGCAGAACCTTGGTTAATTACCCAGACTATGCTTCTTCACGCCAGTCATATAATTACAGACACAAATCAACTCGCATAACTAAAACAAATTTCTTTTGTATGTACAGAATCTCATAACGTGCTCTACATTTGAAAAGCTGTTGAGTTCAGCAAAATTACTGACATTTGAGCTAAGGTTTGTTTGATAAGGTATTCTTGCTTGCTTTGCACTAATAAATCACCTAAGAGTCCCGCGTGAAGAAGAATGCTGTGGTAACACACTTGGCCCTACTCTACCGTTACTTGAAAACATTACAATTATGTACCTACTTACATTATTCTCTCACTGCCTTCGGCTACGTTAGTTCAAAATATGATTAAATCATAGTAATATATATTATAATTAAAAAGAATACAACCTAACGAGTATGCCGTTTAAATTTTTGAAAACAAAAGCAAATTGTCAGGTATTTATTTAGCACCATTTATGTATATATATATATTTAACGCCGGCAGTGAGAGGACATGCCCTTTGAAACTTTTCCACCAATACTCCAATATATACAAAATATGACATATATATTTGTAGCCTATGCTAGTATGTTAAAGCGTAATTTTAGTTTCAATGGCCAAGCCATCGGTTTACTGTTTGCATATAGAAATACATAAACTTTAAACAAACACAAACTCATTTTTTTTCATTTTATAATAGAGAAACTATAAATAGTTGCCAATAAATTAGTAATAAAAATGTAATATATATACAATTATTAAATCCTAAGTTAGCCAAGCCGAAAACATCATAGCACCAAAATACGTAATTAACAAACAGTAATGATAGAAAAGTTTCACATTATCTTTATAAATAATTATATAACTTAATATGTATAATAAAGACATACAGTTCATGTCTAGTTCTAGACTACGTAATAAAACCCCACTAAACGCGGCAGATTTTACAATTTCCGCATTTTTCAGGATACCTATATGAATAATAATATATTATAAGTAAATGGTAATTTTATTTTTAAAAAAGTCTCTGACTAGAGATTATAGCCTAACCTAAAACTTAAACGTACAACATCCTAACTACCAATGTAACATAGCACTCTTTGAAAAGGGAAATGATTAAACAAAAGAAAACAAATGTGAAAACAATAATTTTCTCTATCAATTTGAGCTTTGCCAAAAGATCGAATAACAACACACAGCAATTAGTGAAATCACATTTCACGAAATATTTTTCACAATTTTATTGCGCTTAAAGCCCCAGTATCTCCTACAGCCGGGTTCGTAATTCCAAACAATAAACCCCTTACATAAAGTTTCTTTGAAAACTCCTTTGCTGCTATCTACATTAATAAAAGTACGCTTCTAAGGCCGGGGTGTTACATTGTTTCAGTGTATGATCAACATGAATAAATTTCTAATGATAATAAATATTACAAATTCGCTGCTAAGTAAATTAAAATTAGTTATAGTAACAAGTTACAAAAGGCATTTGAATACGCATCCGCAATTTGTGAATGAAGCTGATTTTAAATGCTAATGCAAGATAATATATAATAAAAAGATGTATGATTATAGACAAGAAAAATATAAAAGTAATACCATTGCTTTTTGAAGTGAAGCCCATGAGCCTTAGAAGGCCTGTGGATATAAAAAAACATATTTTTTAAATATATTAGAGAGCACTTAATTTTTTAATAAAAAGTGCTTACGTTACTATGACTGACTTTTATGCCATAGATTGGTACGAGAATCACATGAAATCACATCGAAAGAACACGCCCGTTATGAGAGAGGCTCATTTTACAAAGAAAATATGTCAGTCAAACAATCACCTACGCAATAAACAAAAATGCACAGTTACTGGCAAAGGCTAACCACGATTGTCTCTTGACAGCTTAAATATGATGATTTAATATAATGCGTAAATTATAAATTGCTTAAACTCGTAAAAAAATTCATTGAATACGAAAATTATAAAACGAAAGTAAATACAGATGGATCCCTCCTATCGATCTTCGTGGGACGTAAGTTATTACATTTTTTTGTAAATTTTTGAATTGTGCAGTCAACAACACGTCTTCACACAATCTTAATCATAATAATTCTGTTTATTGAAACAAGAAACCGATATCCGTAATGTAAAGCGTTATCCCGCCTCAGAATTAACTTCAACTTCATGTCAACCAAATTTGGTAACTCAGCAACTCGTTGTGCTATTGACTGTGCTGAAATATACATTTACCTATGTCGCTTGTAGTGTAGATTTAATATAACTAGTTAGTTATGTTTTTAGAGATTGGAAATGTCCACAATTCACAATAAAATGACATCAAACGTATAATTAGTAGTTACTGAAAATATAAAAGTGTAATTATATTAGTTTTAAAAGACTTTTTAATATACTGCATGTACTTAATAAAAAAAAACATTAAAATTTTGAATAGATTGACATTACAACAATTTCTTGAAAATTATTCAAATCCGACAAAACGTAAAGTCTATTGTGATTTAAATATTCACTTAACTGTAACACTATTTTGACAAATCTTACTGAAATCGTCGCTTAAGTTCTAACACCATGTGATTTGAATAAAAAAGAAAACAATAATATATCGAATAAAAAGTAAGTACGCGTCTAATACGCTCTAGCTCTACTAAAAATTAGACAATTTTGACTTACGTGTTGTTCGTACTGTAGCGACGACATAATTATCATTAACAAACATTATGATGGCAGTGTACGTTATATTATACGAAATATTCTTATATAGAATTGTTTGCAATCAACAAATAGCAAATCAGGCTTCAACTGTGTGTTGACTGACTGACGTTAAAAATACATTTTTGTATGGCCAAATGTGTTAAATGACACTTAGCTCACAGTTTTTGTCTACGCGGTTTGCTTTTTTTTATTAATATCCAGTTAATTTTATTCACCTAGTTTTCACACAGACGGTGGATTTAAAACAATCTACAAATTACATGTTTGTAACGACTTTAGGCAGTGAATGTCGTAAATTTTTATTTTACACAATCGCAAATTATTGTTTCAAAACAATATTCGTAAATTAGTGTCTCACTCAGCTCACAAGAGTTCCCTTAATTTAGCCAAATATTATATTTTATTTACAATGAGGTAGAACGTGGGATTTTAACATCTCTTATCTTTAAAATTTGTTAGCCATGACAATTTTAATGTAATAGATAATACATTTAATTCCTACGATTGCTGTCTCACCGTAAATTTACAAAACTTTAGTTTTTGACAGTAAATTTAACCAGAACGGAAATTAGGAAATCTGACTTAATTCTATTTCATTTTCGACAGCGACACAGACAACAGGATTATTTGAAATTAATAAAAATAATGTCTATGAATGTGACCTGTAAGTAAGAAAGAAACTGATAATTTTATGTGTAAGTAATTGGTAGTGTCGTTAAAAATCGTTTGACAACCTCTACAGTCTAAAATTACGTAAGTATCAAATACACTTTTTCAAGTGTGTGAACTATTTAATATTTAATCAAGTAGATATTAGTTTTTTTTTGGTATGGTTGAGGTTTTATACAGAGTCCATTAAGTCTATAAAAATCTTAATACTTATAAAAAGTGTGTGGCTGTTGCGTTCACGGAGTAACAGATTCGAATATTTTGACTATTTTCAATAAGTTTAAGCAGAGGCATTAATAAACTAAATCACCGAGGCCTACCTGTATGTACAACTCTCGAAATAAAACTTAAAATTAACCCTGTATAAATTATGCTTATTAGGTACCGTAAAAAAAGTAAAACTATTTCATTATGTATTATTATTGTGAGTATTTTGTTATTATTGAAAAAAAACACAGACTGAGGTTATGAAAAGGTAACAGGAGGTACCTTCAGAATGGCACACGTTAAGAGACTACGAGAAAACTGTATACAATGTAAAAAACAATAATTTCATAAAACTGTACTTGATATGATTATGTACATCTATTGCGTCTGCATTCGTCTACTGTTTATGTGTTGTGACAGATTCGATATCGGACTGTTGTCATATTGTGATACAGAAACCGTACAGATGTTATTAAATGTAACCGTCCACTAGGCACATCACCATAACGAATTATTCTCATCATACACTAGTTCGAGAGTATAAATAGAATTCAAGACAGTACTGATCCGACTAGACGGACAGGCAGGGCGTCCCAAACATCGAGGAAAGGTTTTTTCTTTTAAAACAATTTATATTTACACGGTGCTTCTTTGACGAACGAACGACTTTCGCTCGGCACCTAAAAACTTTTTGTACTCTGAAGACGCATTGTCACTGAGCGTTCAAAGCGAGTTCTAGCGTCGCGACCAGGTGATCACGCGCGTAGGTCAACATGGCGGTTCTCCATCCTCTTGCTTAGGGGGAGAGGGATCCAACTCTGGCTTTTCGACGGCCGCTTGCTCGCGTCGGGCTATCTCCGCTTCCCTCTCGTTGAGGCGCGCTTCACGACGCGCTAAGTCCGCCTCCCGCTCATCTAACAAACGAGCGCGTTCTGCGAGTCTTGCTTCTGCATCCAGCAACCTCGCAGCGAGCTCGGGCTCCGACGGGGGAGGAGACGTGGACGAAGTGACGTCATCGACCGGCGGTGTTAGCGGCTTCAGAGTCACGTTGGGCTGGTAGTCGCGTTCGAAGCTGGTACAGTGCGCTACTCGAACCACGCGCTCAGGGTTTTGCAGTATTGGTTCCCGCTTACCCCAAGGCCGAAAGGCGGACAAGGTGCTATACTGGAGGTGCGCGTAGTGAGGCAGCGCGTGGTTGTTGTCCAAATACACTGCGTAGCCGTAGTCACCGCTGCGCGCTTTCTTCGGCGGGGACTCTGGTGGCTCGGTCTTGCACACCACTGTTTCCACCACCTGGAATTGATAAGAGAAAAACTTTACAATCCGTATGGAATACTTTGGAACCCCTTCCTACATTATGGGGTCTTTTAAAAGAGCCGTGTTAGGAACAAGTAGCCAGCCAGCGTTCGCAGCTTTAAATCTGGTGAGCTGAAGTTCTTTACTCAGACTTATTTCAGTCTTATATTTTTTCGTTTTATATAATCCATTATTTTTGTATCTCAATAAAAACTGAAAACTCAGTTCTGCTCAAATTAGTTTTCATCACTATTAAACATAGGGCACCAATATGCTTATGAACTTGGTGAACATCCTACGGAGTATAGGCGTGTGTGAATTGCGATGTAAATAAATGGTTTAACTATACAATTCGTAAATTTGTTTGGCAGCAGTGATTGTTGAACAGATCGGTTGCTGAGATTACTTCAAATAAAATTTCTTTTGCTATTATTGCCTAGCTTCGAGCCTCCAACGAACGTTCTATGCCAAGATGTTTTTGTGTAAATATCGATTAGACATCGACCTTCTTTGACGTCAACAGTTAGTTTTATCTTTGGCAAACGTCGCAAAACATAATAACATCAGATACAACGGCTTATGACGATAATGTGATACAATTTGAACTTAACAGCTCTTAATGAGAGATGACGGCGTATTAGACTATCGATAGTTCCTCGTGATGATGGACTATTAATACGATAGTGTCTGAAAGTGGTTGTTACCATACCGACTGAAACGCATAATGTGCAAAACACATTTATCTTACGTAATGCAGGTGTGGCGTGGGAGGCAGACAGCGGACGCGCGTCATCACACCCTCCCACCCCCGAGAGAGGATGGGGCATAGGAGGTATGTAGGTCGCGGCCGATCCCAGACGACCCCTAGACGCCAACCTCGCCCTAACCGATCGACACCCACCGTATGGTACGTGTTGCCGAAACTTTTTGCGGGCTGCTGATGTTATTGTTGCGATAATATCATCGAAATGGGGAGAGTGATGGTTTGAGTTATCTGCTATTATGTATTAGATAACATTATTAGAGCTCGTTGGTCAGAAGAACGCATTGATCACTTTCGAAACTTTTCTATGATAGATTGTATTATTATAAGCAACAATGTATTACAAAGCGCCTGCTTCATTATAAGATGGTGCGCGTTTTTTGATCGAATTTAGGTTATGCTCCTCTCGAACCAAACGTCTAAAAAACGTAACAACGCAATTATTCACAATAAAATCCATATATATTCTGAGTGTTGGCAATAAATTTCTTTATATGACAGCGGCAGCAGAAAAACTAATGAAGCAGGGAAACTTACTGAATTACAAAGATTTTTAATAAATTTCTGCGTAAGGCTCAAGTTACACTGGCGTAGAGTCGAAACAACCCAACGACCGTCGGGTCATGTTTTTCGCCTGAAGTAAATTCATCTTTATGTTCCCACCATTAAGGTTTCCCAAGGCGAAAAGCATGACGCGTTAGGTCGCTCCATGTCTGCGGCTGAGCCAGTGCCGATTGAGCGAGCGTTTTGAACGAATTTCTTAGTTGACATGTATTTGACGACCTCCATGGCCGAGTGGTTTGTACGCCGGGTTTCATGGTGTCGCCGACTCGAGAGGTCCCGGGTTCGACTCCCGGTGGGGGCAGATGTTTGTGTGATGAATACGAGCATTTGTACTCCACTCATGGATGTTTAATTGTTTTTCTATATAAAATATACTTATATATGTACAGTATATGTATTCTATCCGTTACCCTAGCATCCCATAACACAAGCCTTACTTTGGGGCTAGGCTAATTGGTGTGAGTGTTGGAAATATTTATTTATTTATTTAATTTTATTGTTAAAATGGTGGCAAACACGCATATGGCCCGCGTGATGGTAAGCGGCCACCATAGTTTATAGACACCACTCTCTGATCCATTCCCCTACCCCGTGGAGCTCTGGACCCTTACCTACAGAAACACAACGCCACCAAAACTTAGTGCCATTCTACTGCGATCTAGTGTTAAAGTGACTGAAACATTCTTAAACTTGCACAGCCTTTTAGACACGCTCATTTATCACCATTTATTTGGGAAGCTTCGTTCCTCCTTACCCCTACTAATGAAAGTGAAAATGACTTCGAAGGGTCTACATTTCTATAAGGACTTTTCGCATTTTTCATGCAATAGCTCACTCAGCTCTTTTTTTTAAAACTTCATTACCTTACTTAAATTGCCGAACCTAATCCTATTGGTCAACCGGGAATTGTATTCAGAGAAAGCGAAAGAAAGCATTTTTTTTTGCGTTTTTAATCAAATTAGGTTTGAGTTAAAAATAATATCACCAATCCTCCAGAGAGCTACGTAACACGCCAGACCAGAGTTCATGGCTAGTCAATATAGCGCAACACGAGCCGGCCGCGTTGGTATAGGGTAGGTAAGGCAATTCTTGACTTGAACTAATTCAGTTAGTTACCGACTACGGAATTGTACATAATCCAATCAAAAAATTATACTAACTCTAGATGGGAGCAGATGTGATAAATGTATGATATATAGATGTTTTAAATGTATTTCTTTATAAATATACCTATTAAAGTATCAGTATATCGAGCCCTTACCGCCAAATTATCGTAAGCGACACTCGCCAAATTATCGTAAGCGACACTTTTGTCGAAATGCGTTTTTTGTGGAAACTAATATTTTAAACCGTAACGGACCCATATCTGTTGATATTTCCCTCCAAAAGAACACCGTTATAATATAATAGAGGGAAGAATAGAGGGAAATATCAACAGAGATGGGTCCGTTACGGTTTAAAATATTAGTTTCCACAAAAAACGCATTTCGACAAAAGTGTCGCTTACGATAATTTGGCGAGTGTCGATTACGATAATTTGGCGGTAAGGGCTCGATATGTATTTTATCCGTTACCCTAGTATCCCATAAGACAAGCCTGCAGTGCCCACTTTGGGGCTAGCCTAGTTTGTGTAAATGTTGGATATATTTATTTATTTGCCTTTTCATGCTCCATCACATCAGTACAATTTTCTTTACCACGACACACATCCATTTGCATCTGTTGCTACAATGCTAAATTCTTTCCACCTAGAGTCCTCCACGCATTATCCATCTTGCTGGATCCAGCATGCGATACAGCCCTCGCTATACATGTAAAAGAGATTCTATATCTCGCATCTCTTTTTAGTATGTAAGTATCTCTAAATAAAGATATTTGAGGATAACAATATGAGGATAACAGTAATTAACGGGATAACTATGAGCCATGATCTCTTTAAACAATGTCTAAAGTAAAAAGTAATTGCGAAAAGATGTTATTGGCAGATATAATGTCGCCTGTCCACTTGGCCACGGTTATATTATATATAATATTACCGTGACTTGGCTATTCGTGTTTACTATTTGTAAACTTGACACCAGTCTGTCCTTTTCATTCCTTATAAAGCGTAATAAGGACAGACTGGTGATAACTTTAAAAATAACAAATACAAATAGCCAGGTGAAGTGCATCACGCGGTATAAGACTGTCGAAACCTTCTAAGATAACCCTAGTTCACAAATTATAGACATGAGTATCTTAAAACAAATTGACAAGACATGGTTGGTTGGTTGGCCATAAAATCTGGTCTGATTTTTATCAAGTAATGAGTTTTCTGTTTGCATTTCAATTCAATACATTAATTGAGGTTATCACCGGAGTTCATTGGTTATCGCGAACAATTCCAAGCTTGCCATAACACGCGGCGCGCCATAGTCATCTTTCTTGAATATAATCAGTGCTCTATTAAATGGTACTGATTTAGCCTTTAGCAAAAATAAATAACATGATAACACGGTGTCAGCACATACGACCTCTTTATACTTAGCTTGAAACTATTATGTTATTATTATTGAACGGTTATTTTATCGAGTCCAAAATAACATTGGCTCTCGTCTTCAAAATATTGAAGGAAAGGAATACATTCAATATCATATCATTACGATTATAGGATTATTTAGACTAAACCTAAAAAAAATGTGATATATTACAAATACGTGTAGTTGTTGCTAAGAATTATAAAATATTTTCTGTTGATTCTGAAAAAACTATAATTTTAAGTTTATTTAGGAAAATTACAATTAATGAATATGTTATTTAAATTTTATTAGATTATAGGTCTTTAAAATGTTATTTGTAATTTTAAAGAAACAGCTCAATTATTTTTTTAGTTCTTATCTCTGTCTATGCCAAATAAAGACAGCTAATTGACGCTATCGTTAGCCATTAGTTTCGACAAATAGAATATCAGAATGTGTTGCTGTGCCTGCCTTCCCGCAGTAATTTAAACTTTTTAATTACTAGCGACGTTTCTTATTCAAATATTTTTTTCAACTTATAAAACTTAATTATTTGGGCGTCCGCTGCCTTAAGCGGAAGCACGGAGCGGACGTCCTCACCCGCCTCGGGTGAACAGTTGATTATATTTTTGTTGATAATATTACCTACCCAAAAGACGACGTAGACAAGATTATAGAAGACAGCCCGCGTGCCCCGTCGGGAGAACCGCCTCATGTAGCGCTACTCCATAAAATTACATAAAACAGCACGCGGAGCGGGCTTCCGCTCCGTGCTCTCGCTTAAGGCAGCGAAGGCCCTTATGCCCACTAACCAACGAGGTTTATTGGATTCGTTCTATAAACAATTATGCGCAAAAGAATTTAATTTAATCGGTCTCCTAATAACATTTAAGTACCTAACAGCAAAATAACTTCATAAATAATTTTGTTATGTAACAGGAAACTGCTTTTACTACTGTGAATGTTAAGTTTATTATTTTAATGTGTGGGTACAATTAATTTCATTAAGGTAGTTGGTGGTATTTGTATCATTCGTTTTAATGGTTATAGATTATGTCGGTTAATAGATCTATTTTTCCGTGAAAATTATTACACTAAACAATCGAAAGCTACTCTGTTTGCCTGTCATGTACGTTTTCTCTTTTAACTTGCTGAACCGTTTTGGATAACTT